AGTATGACCTTGAGTTCATCCCACCTGAATTTAGAGATCATCTCAAGAACTGATTTGACGCATTGAACACTAACGACTGAAGACCAGACAAGTTGTGGAATGACAGCAAGCACATCATACAAAAAGCAGGAAAGAAAGAAAAGCCTAAAGTAGATGTCAGAAGAGACTCTGAAACATGCTCTTGAACGTAGAACAGCTAAAACAACTGGAAAAAATGAAGCAAAAGAGCTGAAGAGAAGATTTCACAGGGTGGTTGGAGAAGATGAAGTAAAGTTTCATAATGAAATGTGCAAAGACTTGGAGGTAGAAAACCAGAAGGAAAGAACACGCTTGGCATTACCCAAGCTGAAAGAACTGAAGAAAATTTCAAGCCTCAGATTGCAATGTGGAAGGATTCTGTGGGCAAAATGTTAAACGATGCAGGAAGCATGAAAAGAAGGTGGAAGGAATACACAGAGACGTTGTACCAAAACGAATTGGTCAGCGTTCAGACATTTCAGGAGGTAGCATATGATCAAGAAACGATGATACTGAAGGAAGAGGTCCAATCTACATCGAAGGCACTGGCGAAAAACAAGGCTTCAGGAATTGACGGACTACCAGTTGAGATGTTTCAGCAAACGGATGCAACACTAGAAGCGTTCACTCATGTACCTGGAAGAGATCCATATTTGTGCCCATTCCAAAGAAAGGTGATCCAACAGAATGTGGAAATAATCAAATAATATTATTAATAACACATTCAAGTAAAATTTTGCTGAAGATAATTCAAAAACGGTTGCAGTGATACATCAACAGGGAACTGCGAGATATTCAAGCTGGATTCAGAAGAGAATGTGGAATGAGGGATATCATTGCTGATGTCAGATGGATCATGGCTGAAAGCAGAGAATACCAGAAAGATATTTACCTGTGTTTTATTCACTATGCAGAGGCATTCGACTGTGGATCATAAGAAATTATGGATAACTTTGCGAAGAATGGGAATTCCAGGACACTTAATTCTGCTCATGCGGAACCTGTACATAGACCAAGAGTCAGGTGTTCAGACAGAACGAGGGGATACTATGTGGTTTAAAATCAGGAAAGTTGTGCGTCAGGGTTGTATCCTTTCATCGTACTTATTCAGTCTGTATGCTGAGCAAATAATCCAAGAAGGTGGACTACATGAAGAAGAGCATGGCATCAAGATTAGAGGAAGACTCATTAACAACCCATGATATGCAGATGACCCAGCCTTCTTGCTGAAAGTAAAGAGGACTTGCAGTACTTACTGATGAAGATCAAAGACTACAACCTTCAGTATGGATTGTACCTCAACATAAAACAAAAATTCTCACAACTGGACCAATAAGCAACATCACAATAAATGGGAAAATACTGAAGTTGCCAAGGATTTCGTTTTACTTGGATCCACAATCAACACCCATGAAGGTAGCAGTCAGGAAATCAAACGACCCATTGCATTGGGCAAATCTGCTTCAAAAGACCTCTGTAAAGTGCTAAAAAGCAAAGATGTCACATTGAGGACTAAGGTGCGCCTGACCCAAGCCATGGTATTTTCAGTTGCCTCATATGCATGCAAAAGCTGGACAGTGAACAAGGAAGACTGAAGAAGAATTGATGCCTTTGAATTATGGTGTTGGTGAAGAATATTGAAAATACCGTGAACTGCCAGAAGAACAAACAAATATCTTGAAAGAAGTACAGCCAGAATGCTCCTTAGAAGGGAGGATGGTGAGACTTCATCTTCAGTACTTGGACATGTTATCAGGAGGGAACCAGTCCCTGGAGGACAACATGCTTGGTAAAGTAGAGGGTCAGTGAAAAAGAGGAAGACCCTCAAGGAGATGGATTGACACAGTGGCTGCAACAATGGGCTCAAACGTAGCAATGATTGCACAGGACTGGGCAGTTTCATTCTGGTGTATATCAGGTTGTTATGAGTCAGAGCTGACTAGACGCCACCTAACAATAACAGATGACGTTCAATTTTCTTTATTTCCAGATCTCTACAATAAGTATATTTAACTAACAAAATGAAGTTTTTTACTTGTTTTTTAAGCACGTGTAAATGCATAGGACTGAGAACTGGTTTAAGATTGAAAAAGACTGAAAAGTTTTAGATATATGTTAGTCATTAAGAGCTTGGCTGCTAACCAAAAGATCAGAGTTCATATCTACCAACCGCTCCTTGGAAAACCTATGGAGCAGTTCTGCTCTTTCCTGTAGGGTCACTATGAGTCTGAATTGACTCAACGGCAACAGGTTTGGTTTTTCTTGTTTTGTTTTGCTTTGTTTAGCTTATAACTAATATGGCTGTCCCCAGAGTGTAGGCATTAGTTCATTTATGCCCAGTTCTAGGTACTACACTGTAAGTTTCCACCTTTGGATCAACTTGAATTGTTCAAGTGAACAACTATCATAAAGCCATATGTCCTATAAGAAATTGATGATTTCCTTTCTGGAGAAAACTTGAAGTGGGAGAACATTGACAGCTATTGTCAGACATTTAAAGGAGTGCCAAGTAAAAGAGAAATTAGATTTATTCTATATTCCTGTAAAGGAAATATCTAAATCTAGGTTTAATGGAAGAAAGATACAGGTAAAATTTAAAGAAGACGTTTCTAATAATGAGTCCCTCCTCCACCCCTTAAAAAATAGAATGGCCTATCTTTGGTGGAAGTAAAATATTTCAATACTAAAAATATTTCTATTAAGCAAGATTTTCAGACTTCTCTATAGAACCCTAGGTGGACCTTAAACGTTCTGTAAATATTTAGAAGATATTTTAAAAATTAAATACAGATAATTTAAATTTAAAATAATACATTTACTCAAATCTTTCAAATACTAAATTTTAACACTTTGGAAATCACTGACATGTTCCTAGTTTACTCTACTTCATTAACTTCTTTAGTGCAGACTTCCGTATCAAGTTTCTACCTGCTCATTTGCCTTTTCTGAGTGCAAGACCAGTTGTTAAATCTATTTATCTCTTATACTTGTGTATGTGTGTGAATCAGGAGTTTTATTATTAATATTGTGTGACCAAAACAAAATACAGAAATACATCAGATACTAAGACTGATATAAGACTATAAGTATCATCTGTAGTCTCTGGTTTTCATCAAAACAAGTTCATTGTTTGCAGTGATTGATTTATTCTGACATAATACTACTTTGATCTGTTTTATTTGTAGAAATCTCAACAGAACTTCTTGAAAAAGATATTTCTTTGCTTAAGTATATTTGAAAAAGTCTGATACAGAGGATGGTCAATTCTTTGTACAGAGCATGTTTTGAATCTGCCCACTTCTCTTTATTTCTCCTGCTTAGTCCAAGCCAAAATCATCTCTCATTCTAACAACCTTGAAAACTTTCTCACTGGTTTCCTAATTTCCATTTTGGCCCCTCTAATCCATTCTCTACAAAGCAACTGGAGTGATCTTAAAAAATACAAATCAAATCATATCATACCTGTGCTTAGAACGTTCAGTGACTCTTCTTCCTCTCATCTCCAACATCGTTTTGTGCTATTCTCCGCTCCACCATTCTTTGTTATCCACTAAGTGTGTAAAACTTTGCTATCTCAGGACCTTTTCACTTCGACCTGGAATGCTGTTAATCCCCCACTTTACCTGGCTAACTCCTCATCTTTTTGTGTTTCTACTCTTTAGAGTAGAGGGTGAAAACTATACTCCCTTTAAGCACTCTGGGTTAGCAATGGGCACATGACCTTTTCCCTTACTCTTCTCAGCTCAGACATTCACCTTTGGAAAAGGAAAAGGAGTATCGTTTCATTTTGCACAGTATTCCGCCACACAGTAAGCTTTTAGCTGATATTTTTTAAGGTACATATACACGCTCTGTTTTAAAGCTAGGAGGAAGATGAGGAGAGGAACATTTATGAATGCAAAGATGTCTTCTCTCTATCTTAACACCTAATGAAAAATAGTATATTTATATTTAGTAGGTTTATGTTGTTTAAAAATATTTCATAAAATTAGGCTGAAAGTGGTTAAATAGCTTGACCAAGGTCACACTGCTATTAAATGTCAGAGCTAGACTCTGCTCGTTTAAATCCTACAACTCTACAATACTTAAAAATTTGGCACAAAGGAAAGGAAATACTATTAGTGCGGAAGCTATAACCATAGAGAGAGCTGTTTTCTTCCTCATATGAGAACCTGTTTTCCTGAACACTGGCATTCAATTCTAGCTTTCCTAGTAAAAGCCAGATAGAAAAATCTTTTACTCTTTGTCTGAGATAGGGTGTGTCCCTGCATTTTCTTAACAAATCTTTTGAAGAGATGATGGAACTAAAACTGGAAACAGGGTAGGTAGATTTTTTATTTGGCTTTTTTTTTTTTTAATTAATTTGCTTACTCAGTTAAGATTATGTTTACCTTTAAATACCAGAAAATTTGATAGTAGCTTAACCAAATGGGGGAGGGGTAATTTTCTCACACAAGAAGTCCAGAAATTGGCATTCCAGAACTGGTTCAGCTGCTTCCCCATCCTTATTGGGTTGGCTTTTGCCCTTCTGCTATCTACTGCATGGTTACAGGTGATTGTAAAGGGGTAAAGGTGTGAAAGGGTGAAGGGATATGCCATCTTTGCTAGATAGGGCTTCCAAGGAAGTTTTTACATTAATCAGACTTCTTATGTTTCATTGGAGCCCTGGTGGCGCAGTGGTTAAGAGCTCAGGCTGCTAACCCAAAGGTGAGCAGTTCAAATCCACCAGCTGCTCCTTGGAAACCCTATAAGGCAGTTCTGCTGTGTCCTGTAAGGTCACTATGAGTCGGAATCGACTTGATGGCAACGGGTTTGTTTTTTTTGGTTTTCTGTCTCATTGGCCAGAAGTGTATCATGTAGCCACGTATAGGTAGAAAATGACTAGGGAGACATTGATTGTGTGTGTATCTCATGCCCCCATCATTTAATTTCCTTCAACATGATAATCCAAGTACCTAAAATTATAATAATTGTAATTTTAGATTTACATTGGTGCAGAAGCATACAGTGGAATTTAACCAAGTGGCAATGGCTAATTCAGATGGATCCGAAGCTATGCTGAACAGAGTAATGACAAAGGATAATATTGGTGTCGCAGTGGTATTAGAGGTCCACAAGGAACTATTTGGAGCAGGTGAGTGCAATTTGAAATATTCTTATTAAATAAGTTAACACCATTGACAGTTTTCCTATTTAAAAACAAATGGAGAGCATCTTGCTGTTATTTATTCCATTGTTATTTTCTTGTCCTTTCTTCTGGGGAAATTTAAGGGAGATGGGCAAGAAAATAGCACTAATTGCTACGTAAAGGTTCATCTATTTCTTAGGGTGTTAATTACCAGGTAATCTGTGTAAAGGAAAATCTTAATATGCCATTAATTGCAAAAAATTCTTTGAAATAGGAAATGCTTTTATTGGGCTGAATTTGGAAATTATGATTTTTCTAGCCATATTTTTTAGCTTCTTGAGTGTGAATCTTTGGTCTTTAAGGTTAAGTAATTGACATGTTTTCTCTAATTTCTTTGTTATATCTCAGTCATTGTCAAGATAAGAGTGGGATCTTACGTGGTACCTTTCTTTAGCATTTAGATTATTTATAGTTTCCTTCAGAGTCAGAATTCATTATGTACTTTTCATTTCCCAGACCTTTTTTTCTTTTGAGCATTTCATTGTTTACTTGGTATATTTTAGGCAAGAGCAAGGAGAAGGTTTAAGAGAATGTCAGTCCCCTCGCTCCCTGCACTTATTGGTAGCAGAAGAAAAGATTCTGCCTTCACTATTTATTTGAATTATTCAGACTATCCATATCTGTCAAACCAGATTTTCCCACCATTCTTCAATTTCTTCAATTTATCCATCATCAAAGACAACCAGATTTTGAAGTCTTTCTTTTTCAGTCTCTCCATTTTTATCTACTTTTATGCCATTTCAATTCCATCCTTCTTAAAAATTTGGTTATTTTTTTTTCTTGGTATTATGAAAATTGAATTTCTTTTGGAGTTTTACACTCCTTTGAATTTGCAGAAGAGTAATTATAAATTGCACAGTGGCCACTTCCATCTTCTGATGCATTTATCTCTTGCATTCTTAGGAGGGGAATTTAGTAATATGCAAGGTGCTTTTGGCTCCTTTGAAGGGGCAAGTTTTTAGTATTTAATATGCTGAACATTTAATATATAGCCCAAAGTGACACAATAAAACATCTAGGAAAAGTAGCCAGCTTAGAGAATTTTGGCTGCAAGCTTTTATCTTAGGATCAAATTGCTCTGAAAAGTGACTGTTTCTGTCATGTGTGACAGATATTTCAGTTTGTTGTTTTCTCAACATGAAAGATAATTGTAGCTTGGTAAGATTGAAGGAAACTTACCTTTGCCAAAATAGTAGACATAGAAAATTAGACCTTTTTTCTGCAGAGTTTACATTTTTAATGAAAAAAAATTAAGAGACATTTTATAGAAATTTCAATGGAAAAATTAAACTTATATGTTCACTAATATTCCAGTAGTACAAAAGTATATAAAGTAAAAAGTGAGAATCCTCTCATCTCATTCACATTCTCTAGGGATTGGTGATTTCCCTGTATACATATCACCATAGAGAATATGCATATACAACTTTATTTAAATGGCATCATACCATGCATACTGAGCTTTGTGCCTTGAATATTTTATGAACTGCTTTCTTTGTCAGTACATGTTAACTAGCTATGTTAAATTTAATTTTAATACAATTTTTAGTATATTATCCTGATTCTGTTTTGAAAGTAGTCTGTTAATATTTATTTTTATAGTATTTTAGAAGAAGGAAAGAACCTTAAAGATTTTCTAGTTGAATATCTCATTTTGCAAATGAACCTGAGCACCAAAGAGGCTAAGTATCTGGACTAATACCACACAAAATAATTAGTAATAAACCTAGGTCTAAAACCCAAGCATCTAGACTTTTGAGAACATACTACTTCATAATTATCCTTCTAAAAATTATTTTGGTATATGGTATGAATTTGTTTTGGTAGCAAATTCACTTCTTGGTTTTATTTTGTATAGGCTAATGTAGTGGTTACTACCTTTTACTACTGACCTATCTGTCATGTGCTCAGGAAATGCAAGGTGAATGAGTACTAGACAGTGGGAAGAATTTAAATTAGGTAACTCAGATCACTGGAAATCTGTTTCACAGAGCTATTATAATATTTAAATGTAATATTTAAGTGACAGATATTTAAAGTACTTGTTAAACTAAACTCAGTAAATGTAAGGTACTATAATCAAATCTGATTATATCATGGCTTAATTCCTAATTTAGGCACATAGAGTATGAGTCAGCAAACTTTCTGTAAAGGGCCAGTTAGTAAATATTTTAGCCTCTGTAGGCCACATACAGTCTTTGTCACAGGTTTTTTTTTTTTAGGGGGGCAGGAGTGCAACTCTTTAAAACTATAAAACCCTCAAGCTGACAACAATAACTCTGAAGCGTAGATGACTAGTTTAGGGAGTAGTGATTCTAAGTCAGTGGGGTTGAAACAATATGGAGGAGAGAGCGAGAATGGTGACACGTGAAAAATGTAACCAATGTCATTGAACTGTACATGTAGAAATTGTTAAATGAATGTGTGATCTGTTGTATATATTTTCATCAAAAATAAAATAAATATTTTAAAAAATATATACAACTATCCTTAGTTCACACAGGCTGTACAAAAACAGGTTGTGGACCTAATTAGCCCATGGGCAGCAGTTTGCTGCCCCTGATCTAGAGAATTATTTCTCAGATTAGGGTCACTAGAATGTCAGTACTTTAGCTTTTAAAAAGTACTTTTTCGGATAAAAGGCAAGATATAAATTCATGGAAAAGAATGAAGAAGTGGCTATGGGCTTTTGGGAGAAAACCTTACCACTTCACTTGGCACATAAAGCATAACCTTTGCCTGCTTTTTCTGATGTTTAAATTTAGGTATGAAGCCTATTCATGCTGCAGACAAACAGCTGCTTATAGTGGCAAATGCCCACATGCATTGGGACCCAGAGTATTCTGATGTGAAACTCATCCAGACCATGATGTTTGTCTCAGAAGTTAAAAACATTCTGGAGAAAGCCTCTAGTAGGCCTGGCAGTCCAACTGCAGATCCTAATTCTATCCCGCTGGTGCTATGTGCAGATCTTAACTCATTGCCAGATTCAGGTATTTGTAACATCATTTCCTCTTTTCTTTCAATTTTGCTTTTAGCTGAAAGACTGGCTAGATCTTAACTTTTGGGTAGAGAATTTCTCTTCTAAATTAGGGGGTGTATCAGTCAGAATCCCAGGGATGGTACACGGGATAACAGAGGAAAGTTTAATAAAGAATCTTTTTCCAGGGTGTGGGCAGGGTTAAGGGAAACCAACAGTGAATGATGCAGTACTCTGGCACTAGGGGATCTGTGGGCCCTTTATTACCCCTATACCTAAACGGGAAAATAATGGGAGCTGTTATCAGAATTTGGAAAAAGTAGTTAGAGCTGTAGGGCCATGTAACAGGAGCTATGGCTTTGTATTGAGGGCTGTAGCCAATTCTTGGCAAATCAGCAAGGTCTCCTGCCATTGCTGCCCATTGACCAAACCCAACTGGAAGCTAGAAGGCAGGGATTTGCAGTTGGTGCAATAGTCCGTCTCCTGAGGTACAGAGTACAGTGTGGAGAGGCACGGAGTATAGTGGAGAAGGGTAATTTGGAGGGGCAGCCAGAAAATACTCAGCACAGGTCATTATCTAGTTTAATAACTTCAGCAACTTTTAAGTGAATTCATTGAAAGATAATTGAATACTGATGTTAGGTGCAAAGAGTGATCAGAATCTCCTAGGATTTCACATTAATTCTTGAGCTCCACGAAACTATTTTTGTCCTAATTTATGTCACTTATAGCTTTGTAAAACATCAGTTTAGTATTTTAAGTATAAATTTCAAATGCAAAACATTAAAGGTATACTCTTTTGCTATTAGCAAAGCGTATTCTGAACTATGTATATTATCACTAAGCTTTTTACAAGTGTTTAAAATAATAACTCAACAATAAGTGTAAACCAGCCCAAATGCTTATAAAAGAAATATTCATAAAAGTTACAAACATCTTTACTTTTTCTTCTTAGCAAATAAATGCTGAAATCATCCTTTGCAAATGTTTGTCTTCAACTCCTAGCCTCATAGGCACCGTAACCACATCCTGTTTTCTTAATCTTTTTTTTTGTTTTTGTTTTTTTTGTTTCTGAGTTTAATTTTTCTCAAGTATAAGAAGTTTTCCTCCTATCTCATTTGATTTGTGATTTGACAGCACAGCATTAATAGTTGACTCTGGATCTACACTGTCAGGGTTGGATCCTGATTGTGCTACTTACTAGCTGTGCAGTCTATGATGAAATCCCTCACTTTTGATTAAGGGGGCAATAATTGTATTCACCTTATAGGGTTGCTTGTGAAGTTTGTGTATAAAGTACTTTAGAACAGTGCCAGGCATATAGTAAATGCTAGATAAATTATAGCTCCTTTTTCACCTATTTACAATACTGGAGATGACTAATCATAATAATAAGTGTTGTGACACTTTTTTCCCCTGTTCACTTATTCAGTGAAAGCATTGTACTTTTTTTTGAATGCTTCTACTTGCTCGTGCTTTTTAGACTCATCTAATATTTTTGACAAGTGGAATACTTCTGTCATAATGTTCTTTGTAGTGACAGACTGAGAAATCTTACTGTAGCTCAAAATAATGATGTTGTTTAGCTGACCCTAGAAATTGAGGTGTTGAAGATACAAAATCTGTTTTTGTTATGAATGATTTTTTATTATGTATGCTGCATTTTTAATATTCCCAAAGTTGTTGACTGACTGCATAGAATAGGGAAATAATAAAGAGATAGTGGTTTGGCATAATATTCTAAAAACATTTACGATAAAGACCTTCCTGGTGAATGCCATCCTGTGCCCTGGAAATTATCTTTATCCTGAAGAACCATTAAGAAAACAGAGCAAATTCCTCTGTGATCTTGATACTTTGCTCTGAACTAGGCAAATACCCTTCATTCTATTAGTTTGAACCTTATGAAGTTACTGATATTCTATTGTTTTTAACAAACAAACAAAAAAGACAGTTTCATATGGCTCAACCTAATAAAACCATTCCGAACCTGGTCCAGTTCCTGGCAGTGGTTCTTGGCTATGAAGGCTTGTATAAGGACTCAGTGCTAAATGGTAGTGTTCCTTTCTTTTTTACTCCACTAGGTGTTGTAGAATATTTAAGCAATGGAGGAGTAGCTGACAACCATAAAGACTTCAAGGAACTAAGGTACAATGAATGTCTTATGAACTTCAGCTGCAATGGAAAGAATGGAAGCTCAGAAGGGAGAATCACACATGGCTTCCAACTTAAGAGCGCCTATGAAAATAACTTGATGCCTTACACCAATTACACCTTTGATTTCAAAGTAAGTGGCAGCCTCTTGGCTGATGTAGAAATGATTTCAAATACAAGCATGTGAGCAAAAAAAGTGCAAAATTTTCATTTATGCTTAATTGTATAATATTCAGGAATTTTTAGATTCTCAAAATGTTGAGTTTAAGTATGCAGCTAAACGTAAGGAAGTTTGTTGGGTTTTGTGGTTATTATAGTTGTGTTTAGAATTATTTTTGAACCCTTGTTTGCTCATATTTCAAATAATAGTGATAATAGCAAAAACTTCTAAAATGCTTTCTGTGTACCCTGCACTATTCAAAGCACTTTATGTATATTAATATAGTTAATTCTCACCTGTCCGTACCACCTCTGACTTTCAGCAGGGACCCAAAAAATTAGCATCTGACATAACTAAACTCACCTTGAATTATTTTATGTAGTATTCTCTCAAACATTTCTTAGTACTTTCCCTGATATCTCATGTATCTTTATTTTTTTCCAGGTTTCTTTGAGGGGTAGGGTTAGAGAGGGTTGTACCTGAGGTCTGTTTTACATCCATGTATTTGTACTAATACATTCCCAGAAGTGGATAGTGCCAACTTAAGGAAAAGAAATATATTTTAGCAAAATAAGGAAAAAAAAAAAAGTGGGGGCCTATTGTACAGGGCCACAGCATTCTTTAGAAAGATTTATTGTGGCGGCTTTCCATAATGACCCCTTTCCCCTCAAAAATTTTCTGATCACTTTACCTATCTGTAACTCTTCTCTCATACCTCTACATGACTTTCTGGCCTTCCAGATACTTACAGTAAAATCTTATACTAGACTGTAAAAAATGTAGATGTTAGAAAGTACTTTTGTAAAACAAGAAGCCTTGAGGGAATTTAATAAAATACAAAGGAAATTTATGAAACAGGCTCTATTCATGTCTCCAGTAATCTTTTTCCGTTTTCAGTACTTGTTAGCCCTTTTTCTGAGAAACAAGTAGCAGAAAGGAAATTCATGTGTTGATGTTATTAATCAGCTTTTATAGTCATGAAATGGAAAAAAAAAAGTTTAGAAGTTGTTGAATCTAATTTAGTGTTCTTGCTATTAGAGTGGACAATTCTATCCAGTCATAGTTTATTTTTTTCAAATCACTCACATGCAGTGGTGTGCTGGTAAATATTTAACAGTCAGCTTTCTGGGAAAAAGAAGTCCTGATTCGTAGTGTTTGCTGATTACTGTGGTATAAATACTCCCACTGTAGCAGATTTCAAGCTACCGACATAATACCACTGGATGCAGAGTTGGGAAGAGGTGCTAACAAAGCTGATACAAGCTGGCTCCAGCACACCACTGCTTTTATGTAATGTGAGCTTAAAGGAAAAACTCTAGATTCAATGATACATAGTTTACTATAGGTTAAATCTTATCCTTGTGACTGTAGCGATATATATTATATCACTGCTAGCATAACCCAGAAAACCTATAATAAAATTTCCCAAAATAAGTGCTCACTAATTCTACAACTATTACTGTTGTTTTGGTATGTGAGTAGGTGAAAAGACCAAATCATTTTGAACTTCCCTGGATTTTTTTTAAAGATTATTTTTTCCTTTTCATAAAGCAGAAATGAGAGAAATAAAATTTGATACATTACAATCTAAGCCATTTTCCTCAGTCATTTGAATTGGTTTAAAATTCTTTGTTGATGAGAGAGATCCTCACATGTGTTAATAATTGAATCAGACGTCTTATTGAACCATTTACATAACCCAAAGAGGTACAGTTAAAGAATTGTAAGTGCCTAGTTCAGAGAGTTCTTGATGTTTTGGATAGATGGGATGGGATGGGATGGGATGGGAGAGAAGGAGAGAGAGCAGTAGATCGGAGAGAGAAAGATAAATATGTTGGCTGGCTGGGATTGGAGGGTGAAATGGAATGGGAAGGAAGAATGGCCAGACAGTGAACTAAGGGCACATATGACCAGAGAGAACTGAGCTTTTAGTTTAAGCAACAGGCAATGAACTTTTCAATTTTATACAAATCATTTTGTATAATCAGTGCTATGCCAATATTGAAATAAAAAGGGATAGGGAACACCAAATACAAAATGTCATGTGATACACCATTAAATACAGATCCAAACACAGTAATCCAACATTGCATCAGTGGGGTGTTTTTAAATTGTGTTTATTTGGCTTAGCATTTGTTTGTTACCTTGTTGGTCCTTAAATAAGATAGAAATTTAGGAAAGTGGTATTTAGAACTCAAATTCATGTAATCTAGAACTTAAAGGGTAAAGAGTTGGGAGAATTACTCTGTTCCCAACATTACTTGCAGACCAGGTCAGTTGAATAAACAGCTTAATTCAAACTTTATGTGCTTTTTCCTCTCTCCCCCACCCCCATATAAGGGTGTGCTTGAATCATTTAAAGAAAAGAGGAAGGACAGCTTTCCCGTATGTCAAGTAGTTATCCTTTCTCTTTTTACATTATCAGATTTGTATTATATATAATTTTCTCACATTGTTTTAAAAAAAACGTTTTAGCATAAGGCTATCTAGTGAACTATTTTCAGTTTTTTTGGTCAAATACAGAGTTATAAACTTATGTGATATGGTCTTTATTAATATAAAGACTGCATATTTCCATATTATAGTCTTTTAAAAAAGAAACAGTTTGAATCAAAAAAAGTTAAGAATCACTAGTCTATAGCCTCCTTTGTGAGTATGATCAAATTTAGAGACGCTGCACATATGCATATGTTCATATACTGGGCAGGTTCATGGATGTGACCTTGCTAATAAGGGATTTGATAAGAGCTCTTACTGTGGACATTTCAGACAAAGAAAGTAGTTACAAGTGATGTCTTCATTAAGTATGTCTTAATTTCTAGAGTGTTTAGCATCTTTTTTGGGGCCTATGTTTGCAAAGCATGTTATAACTCCAGCAGCTAATGTGCATGATGCCACTCTCATAAAATGAAAAGATACAGGAGGTTTTATTCAACATGAATAATTGAGACTATTTCATTTGTGTCATGTTGAAACAAAGGGTAGTCTCAAGGGAAGTAAAACCACCTGACCCTTATTAACACTTCCTAAAGTGTCACTGCAAAACGAGGCATAAGCTGAAATAAAGGAATAATGGCTTGTGATAATATCATTTCTTGAACATTGGGAGTATTGGATGGAACTCAGTATGCATAGTATTTGTAAATAGATACTCCCAGGTTTGGAAATATTTCTCCATATTTGGGCTCAGGCTCTCTAGATTTGGATAGAAACTAGCTAGAAAGAAATTTTACTTTTCTCTCTTGGATACCCAGCCTGAGACAATAAAGGCAAACCGGTTTTGAGACTTACTAGTCAAACAAATCAAATCATTTAGCTCTGAGAGATACATCAGATGTGTATGGGTCCCTGCTGAATGTTTTTTGCTAAGGTATCCTTATGTAGCAAGAAAATCCAGAGTTTATAGTACACTAGGATCTGTGAAAATGAACATTCTAACCTAAAGAGCAGAAATTAGAACAGTTTTATATGTGTGTACCAAATCTGTGAAGGTTGAAGTAGGATTAACGTATCTGAAGACGTGCTTTACCATGGCTTTGTTCAGGTGTGTTCAGATATCTTGATATACAAATAATTGAAATAATTCCAGTTATTATTAAAAGAATTAACTTGAGTCATACCTTTTCATTAACTGTGTATATGTTGCTATAAATATCCTTATTTTTTGCATGTTGTAACTGATCGAGTTAGTGCACTTTTTATAATACTTACTAAAACAAGCAGGCCAGTTCTAAAGATACTTAGACATTATTTGGTATGTTTAGCTTCTCAGTTTATCACTTACGCACAAATGCAAAGCTTTGAGTGCTGTGTTTCCCTGCTGAGCCACCTTTATTTCATGTAATATCCATTGAAGATGTGAGTCCTATTTGATCCATTGTTAAGACAACAGGTACTAGAACTACAGATTACTCAGTTATTTGGCTTTTACAAATTATGGATTGTCTTTTATGTATCTTGAATTGTTTTCTTCTAAGCATACATTTTTCTTTCTTTCCCAACCCCCAATCTCTTTCCAGGGCGTGATTGACTACATTTTCTATTCCAAGACTCATATGAACGTGCTTGGTGTCCTGGGGCCTTTAGATCCTCAGTGGCTGGTTGAGAACAACATCACTGGGTGTCCACACCCTCACATCCCTTCAGACCACTTCTCACTGTTAACACAACTTGAACTCCACCCTCCACTCCTGCCTCTTGTCAATGGTGTTCACTTGCCTAATCGGAGGTAGTGGAGTACTGCCCCGCAAAGACGGGGATCTGTTGCTATGGACCTGTACAGTTGTAAATCAGAGTATGTAGGAGTGAAGTATGGCCATCCTTAAGCTGCTTCTTCAGGTTCCTTTCATTATGTCTTGCTATAAGATTTTGTACATTTTTGTGCATATTGGTATCATTTGGCACTAGGGTTGGAACCAAAGTATTGCTCTCTTTCCGGATTTTTAATTTAACATGTTTTTAAATTGGACCTTCTTCATATTATATTAAGAGTCCACATTCATAATTGGTAAATCCCAATTAGAGGCCCAACAACAGTATATTTGTTTTTCCAAAACAAATACTTTCTTTTGAATGATGTCAAATGAGCCAACCATTTTTGCAAAAGGCAATTTTTTAAAACTATGAAGTTTTAAACTGAACGATAGCATGCCTTTCAGGGAAAACTTTCTTGAATTTCTGTTATCCTTTATAACAAAATGATTTTTGAGTCCCTAAGTTATTTGCACATTAACAAAGCACTTAAATTTGTTTGATCTGTACATAAACCATGATATAGCCTCTAGCCATAAGAAAAAGTGAGAAATTAAAGATGGTTGCACAATATGTTTTCAAAATCAAGCATATAACAGCACATGACAGTTTGTTGGACAAACACTTTTTTTGTTTGGGCTTTTTTTATTTTGTTTGTTTTTTTTTTTGGGAAGTACTCTTGTTTTTTGGCCCCCTTTTGGTATTAGTTCTAAGCCTGTCTCTCCAGTTTATTTATGGGGAAACAGCAAGTAATTTATACTGCCACACAGCTTGAAAATAGAATTTGGTATGCTTAAGATGATCACAAAATATAGTGTCCAGTATTTTTAATGATTCCTATCCACCTTTCTTTTCTGTCTGGTTGTGCTGGAAAAACAGATATTATGTGATCTGTATCATTTCTGCTGTTGTAGCCAAATGTTAAAATAAGTACTCTGAATAAGAAGCCCCTGATCAAAGTTTGAGAAGGGGAAAGCCATACAGATATTTTACTTGTGTCCCAAATAGGTTAAGTGACTGTTGATTTTCGTTTTTTAAGGCAACAATGGAAAGGACTGGCGGGGGAGAGAAAGAACAGGGAGTAGTTGAAAGCCTTGAATCATTTTTCTTGACTCTAGCTGCCAAATGGCTATCATATGCTTTTAATCTTTTTTTCTGTTGTCTGTCAGGGTTGAATTAAGAAGCTACTGGTTTATTCCCACTGTTGATGCTGTAGATATATTGGAATCCTTTTTTGCCCAGAAGGGGCCATTTGAAAATCTGTGACTTCAAGAGGCAGTGAAAGTAATATCGTTTTCTGGGGAGAAAATTAGTTGGCTGCTTGATGTTAATTATGGCACAGTAACAGGAAAAGGTTGTGTCTGTGTTTTTAAGTTTTTCTTTATTCTGCTTTTTTGCTGCTATTAAGAGTTATCTGAAATTTATATTTTAAACTTTTCATGCACTTTACTGTTTCTAGTCTCAAAATGTGATATTTTTAATAAACAAGAAGTTTTCCATTATGTGAATGAAATTTTAAAAGAAAATAGCCTATATTTGTGTCTCACTAATATATAAAGTACAGGTCAAATTTAAATTATTTAATTAGTTTTAAATATATACAATTTGTCTCCTCTTTCAAACCTGACATCTTAAGCTGTTTTATTAGACTTAAATGATGCATTTCCTTTGGTCATTTTATAACTAATTTCTTCCATAGTAAATTAATCAGGCTATATAATATTTCCCCAAGGATAATTTTAGTGGGACTAGTGTGGTGGGATGATGTAATATCATACATGGGATTGCATCAGAAGGGTAAAGAAGTTTAAAGCCTAAATAAACTCCCTCTTTTAAAAGTGCCTAGTGGTAGAGGCGTTGTTTGTCATCTATTATAATTGGAATGTCATTGTAGTTGAATGAAGTTTGATGTAAATAAAATATTCTTTTAAAAAAATGTTAAAGTAACAAAATAAACAAAGAAACAACCCTTAAGATGACAGATTTTCCTCGGTGTGCAGGTATCCCTTCTTATATACCTCAAGCATTCAACATCTAGCCATACGAATTGATTACCTGAAGCATAGTACTGGAAAGTAGAATAGCATGAAAAACTTAATTTTGTGGACATTACCTTTTTTTGTAATCAGCTACTGTATGTTTTTATTTTTAAATCTTTCATTTTGGTTGGGTTTTCTGCTCTGGAGGTATATGCACTAACAAAACATTTTCCTCCTTTCATATACGCATGTTAATTAGCAATGTGAGCAATATTTCCTACCATACTTCACTCCCAATATTTTTTGAGATGTTTGTATAAAATGGAATTTAAAGTTCACTTATGATTGTATATGAACCACAGAGGAGCCCATTTATTAATAAAAACTTTTTTAATAGTTCAATGTAGAGGGAAAAAATAAAAAAATTGGGAAACATTGTAAACAGCTTAAGTTTATTTTGTCTATGATCGAGGCACTCTGTTGCAGAAGGTGTGTAATTGGGTTCTCTCTGCTTCCAAATGCACTCTTTCAAACCATTCATTATCCTGTGTATTTTTAATGTGGTTTTAGTAAATGTTGGTAGTAGCTCTGTTGAAGTAGGTAATTGTATTATGTTTTGGGTGGCATACTCTTGGGGCATGGTAACCCAGATTTCATGTGCACGGTTTCCCTTTAGCCCACTGCCCAAATTCACACAACCCATCACCCTTTGTTCCCTTTGTAAAAGGAGTGGTATTTGTTTTGAGCTGCCAATTCAGATGATCAGAAATGCTGCTCTCCTCAGTATTGTCTTGTTAAATGCATGCCGTTTGGAACTTCAGCAATGAGAAGCCAAAAGGAAGGAGGTGAATGACATATGATATATATTCAGTTAAAAGTAAAATACATGCTCATATACTTTCTAGTTCTCGGAATAAGTTACTAAGCTTTATGCCATGGGGCTGCTGCATATTTTATCTGAAGATAAAAGAAAATTTGGGCATTTTTAGATTGTGATATGTATTTTTTTAATTGTTACATATGATTTCTGATATTTGTCTAAGAACTGGAGTGTTCTTTAAATTTATTACAAACAGTGTTGTTTGAGGAAGAGAAAACTGCACTGTTTGCCATTATAACTGTCATACAAGTGCATGTCAAGTCACCTACTCTCTCAGGCATCAGTATCCACCTCATAGCTTTACACATTTTGATGGAGAATATTGCAGCATCCTCAGGACTGACATCTGAGAAAGGCTCAAATCCACTTACTGCTCCTTGCTTGTTGACTTTGTTTTAAAATATTGTGCCTGGTGTCAACTTTTAAGCAACAGCACTGCCTAAAAGCAAGCAGAGAACAGAATCCCAGCACCATTCTATAGGCAACTTTTTAGAATTCAGATATAGTAAATCTGTTCAAGATTTATGATGTTTTATGTAAAAAAAAAATTTTTGTACAAATGTAGCTGAATATTTTTGTTTCATTTCTTTGATGTAAGGTGTGTGAATGTTTGAATATCACATGTTAAAGTCAGGTATGGCACAATGGGTTCTGAGACCAGCTTTTTCCCCCTTCCCATTTGCCTTGTTCCAAGCTTTTTCTTTTCAGATTACTTTTCTGATACTCATAGGCAAATATTTAATTTTACTAATAAGCATCCTGTGTGAATGTATTAAAGAAGCCACTTGAGTGTTGTAGTTTGCAGAAATACAAAGCTCCGTTTATTTGTCTTATTCTTTGGCATCTTAAAGTTGTATATTAAATCACAGAGAAGCAAAGGGGAAAGTTGAAAGATATTTAAGGCTCATATCACTTGATTCAATTCTGGAATTGAGGGTGTGGCACGTTAAAACTAGAAGGTGGACAAACGTACTGTGTTCCATTTTAAAATTGTATCTCCTAAGTATAGTTAAATAGGTGAAAAATTTAAGTTTGTATTTGCATTTCTAAGAGTTTCTAAAAATCATTAATGCCATCAATACTTTCAGTATCAAATAGCAAGAAGTAGAAAAAGCACAAGGAAAAATAGGTTAAATATGTTCTTTGAAGGAACAGAGGCATCTGGTTCATCATTCCTAATACAAGACTAGATTTTCTAGCAGTAAAAATTGACAGTGTCTCAATATTTACTTCTTTGATTCTAGGGTGTATATTCTGAGTTTCTGTGGTATTTTAATAGCTTTTTGAAATACACTGATCAGTAGCTTCAGTCACCAAAAAAAAAATCAGTTTCTTATTTATTTAGCGGTTCATAAGAACAGTAATAGTTTATAGCAAGCAAAAACTTTATGGCACATTTTCAAAACTGTACCCATACATATTTTGGTTATATTTTGACAGAAATGTGAATTCTTACATTGGTAAGGTACTCTCTGTCTCCCATCTGCCCTTCTCTTAAAAAAAAAAATACCTTTATGATGTGTGGAAGTTTCCAAAGGTAGGAAGGAAGTTGTAGAATAACCTTGTGTTTAATTCATGGTACCAAAATGTTTATCCCTTTCCTTCCTTCTGAATTGTTTCATGTTTATAGAACTGTGTGAATTGTAGGTAGACTAATTAATTAAGGAAGTTAGAATATTTTTCTAAGCCAGGAGCTTCAGCTAAGGTTTTAAATTTGTTAGATAAGAACTTTTGCGTTTATGGTTGCTTTGGATGATTTTAATGTTTTAATAGCATCCTGAGCACCAAATTTGCAATTCCAGTATAAGTAAATTAGTACACTTCTAACCTTGCTGATTTACCAAAGTGGCAATCTGTATAACAACAGGATGCCGAGAGGATCTTTCATATTACAAAATGACATGCAAATCTTTATTTTTTAAGTGTCACCTTTAAAGCTTCAGGGTAGCGGGAGGAAAAAAAAAAAACAAAAACCCTTATACCAGTACTGCAGAATGTTCTGAATAAGATCCACAGAAAGGAAAAAAAAACTTTTCAGGAAGGTGGTAAAGTCATGCATATTGTTCTAACAAAATACGTTCTTGATATGAATTTCTCTGTTAAATCACAAGCGCTACAATAAGAAACAGGGAGATATCAGGAAAAGAAAGCTTTATTAACCAAATTAGTAACTTCTTTTGGCATAAGTTTGTTTGATTAGACTTGGGTTATTCTTGGAACCAAAGGAAAATAAGTATATTGAGGCTTCATTCAACAAACATTATGACATTGAAGTAATGGGAATGTTTTTAAGTAATGGGAATGTTTTTAAGTAAAATAGCTTTCATTTTCAAAGCATATGAAATGGGAACATTTCTGCTATTAAATGTTAATTTCATGACACATAGTATAAACTCAACATTGTATTGACATTAGAAGTGGCATCCTCAGAAATCACATTATGAAAAGGGTATGCAAATGCCGAGTGATATGACTCTTGGAGTAGTAACATGGTACATTCAACTTTCAGAATCTTCCAGAAGGCATAGTTTGGCATCTGTTTTCAGTTATTTTTGTTATAACAATCTCCCTAAATTTAGATAATTTTCCTGTTTTGTATGTCTGTCGCTTTTAACTCTTTAAAAGCTTAAGAATCATGGTGGCCCTTGCTGAAGTGGTCCCTTCTTGCTCATTTGAGTTTTGTGTTAACTCGTAATTACTGATCTATGAGTGTTTTCTTTCAAGCGATCAATTGTTATATGTGCCACATTAGTTTACCTTAGTTATCTAAACTCACAAAATTGGCTCAGTATTTATGTGTCAGACAATGGCTTTGCTTCTTACTGAATAGGCTTGCTATCACATTTGTTTTAATCTTGATGCAGTTCAGTGATGCAGTGTGTTGAGTTTGTATTTATTCAGAAACTGTACTGTCCTTTCTTTGTGCTTAACTTGCTAAAAATATATTCCCTTACCTGTGAAATTCCTGAGCGGTGCTCTGCCAACTTTTGGAGGGGAGAAGTTTGGATGGTTGTGTTACTGCACACTGGATCTGGAATTGTTCAGTGTTGTGAGTGGCAAATTTTTTAAACACCAGCAGCACTGAGAAGTGCACTATGGGCATTCGTACAGTTGTCGAAATGCAAGCAATTCTTTCATCTAGGAGAAGCTGAAGAATAGTATTCAATAAGAGTACTCGAAGGGTGACAGCTTTGGTTTTGTTGTCTCTGGGTTGGGATGGTATGGAGGGTTTTTTTTTTTTTTTTTTTTTGAGAAACTGTGTGTATGTATCTTTTTTCTCTGAAAGAGCCAGGGTGTTGGTCAAATTCACTGAGGATTAATTTATATCTTCTATTGTGATTTCTTTCAACCATAAAACAAGTGCCAACTAATTGTCCGTGGGACAATCTACTCTTCCACTCAATCTACCATTTGAGTAGGGAAGGGTCCATTTATTTGCATTACCTGGCATTAATTCATTGTTTTGCATACATTTGAGTCATTCTGTGGCCTATAATGTGTTTTCGTAACTATCTAATTCTCTTGGTTGGAAAGGAAAGCACATGAGTTTAAAACTGAGCAAAATTTTTGGTAATTCTTTTCCGTAAATACTTGGTAGTTTCTATTCCGAAACAAATTCTACTGTTCTAGATTGTATTTAGTTTGGTTTTGTCCTAAGAAAAAGCCAAACACCAAGTCAATTAGTTATTGTGTTCTAATAATCAGTTTAAAACCTAATATATATATATTTTTAATTAGAAGATTTAATGAAGTGCCATGTAATTGTAGCTTGCTAGTGTTTAATGTTTAGTAGACTGGTTCTGTGATGTTCTAATCATTTAACACTCTGTCATCATCTTGGACAAAATGGTTCTCTTATTGAACACATTTTCTCTGACAATATCACCAGCTGCTTTATCTTTCTATTTATTACAGTTAAACAGTTGATGAGATCTGAATCTTGACCAAACTGCTCAGCTGAGATGTTTTTTCACAGTAGACACTGTACAAAATATGCGTGCAAAAGGACACAGTTGGGTGGTAGTATTTTTTCATTAATGTGAACATTGACTAAACAAAGCAGCCCTGCCTTTTAAATCTTGTGGCAGCTCAGAAGGGAGGTGCTTAAGAACCTTAACTACTATGTCAGATGACAAAATACTTTTTTCCATTTTGGAGATTGGGTACTGCTCACACATGATGTATAGGGCTAAATATATGCTTGTTTCCTTGCACCTGTGTACTTCCCCTTTTCTCCCTCCCTTCCCTTCCCCTGTAGGCAATAAATGGCCGTTTTGCAACTGCGTACCTTTGTCTTGGTTTTTGACTCTTTATCTGTGCAGTATAAGTCTCTGCTTTTAGGTCAGTACTATTCTTGTAATTCAGGCAAAATAATTACTAATGCTACTTTTTTTGGGTGGAAACTACATTACTATTTAAGTACTTCGTTTAAAATAGATGCTGAAGTTACTCATAGTTATGTGACCTGCTGTGGCTGAAGAAATCTGAGCAAAGGGACATATGTCACTTCTGAGGCAAGCTTTAAAAGCCAGTGTACAATTTGCTGTGTCTCTCTTGCCTTGGTAATCATGGAAGCATATGTTGAGATGAAACCTTTCATCCTAGCTTATTGAGTGAGTTTGATGAACAGAACTCTGCTACTGACTTTGGGCAGGTAGTGTGTGAGAAATCACCCCCAAATCTTAGTGTCTTACTACACCAAAGGTTTGTTATTAGGACATAATCTAGTCCATCCTGACAGATCTGAGTCACCAGTATTGACTGAGCTTAACATCTGGGCCTGACAAGACTTAGACACTAAAAGTATCTACTGTGAACAACGTGCTGTGGGATATAAAGATGAAAGACTGCCTTCCTGTCTTCAAGAGTTCACATTCCCAACACTTCTGTTTATGACACAGGAGAAGATACTGAAGTGTTTTGGTCAGAGTAGGATATCTTAAATCTTAGAGTCTTGGAAAATGGGAGAGGGAGAAGGCACACAGTGAAATAATTAAGGATTGTGTTTAGGGATATAAATTCAATTGAAAAATGATTTTAAGACCATTGTGTGTGTTTGAGAACAGACTTCTTGAGAGTCAAAATAACTTGAACTGTGTCTAGCTTAATGAAGTGCTTGGGAAAGATAATGGTGGATTATTTTGCAACAGATTGCCAACATCAAGTACATAGGCTGAAAGCTCAGTGCTAGCTGACTTGTTCTTTCCTACCAAGGATGTAATGTGAGCCTGTCACTGACCCTGAGTACCTTCTGTTCACAAAGGACTTGCCGTTTATCTTGGTCAGCCTTTAGGAAGTCCTCCAAAACTGGAATCTCACCCCTGAAGTGGATCTTAAAGGGTCCAGATTTCAACATATTCCCTTACTAATATAAAAAGATACTCCTAGGATAGGACATTCAAGACATTCACCAAGTATCTGTATTCTACTTTGTGACCTTGGACAAAACAGAACCCGTTGGTAAACAGAGATAAGAATCTCATAAAATGGTTCTCCCATAAAGCAGAAACCATGACAAGGGCTTCCATGCAGATAGTTTATTTAGGGAAATGATCCCAATAAAGTAGAATGGGGACTGGGAAGAATGAAATAGGGAAAACCAAGTCAAGGGTGCATTATTGAGCTGATAACCACTGTGGGTAACGGGCATAATCCTGCCAAGTATCCTTTGAGGATCTGAATAGAATGTATCCCCAAATTGTGTTCATGAGGGATGGGAGAAGAGAGATTATTAACTGGCTCCTATGAGTAACAGGTTACTCTTTGAGTGTTAAATCCTTTTACCTTCCATGTTTGTGCATGCATTCACAAAGGGGGTTTCTGCAGGTGTTTCATACAATGGTAATGGAGAAAGAGTGGTGCAGAAAGTGAGAAACATTTGGTGCAGCCTAGGCAAAGTGTTCTGCTCAGCTCTTTTGCTTCATCATTTCGTCCATTCACTTCAGCTACTCTACATTGAAGAGCCGAGCAGATTTCAAAGGAAGGCTCAAGAAGACAAAGTGAAGTATTATAATGAAGTGTGCAAAGAACTGGAGTTAGAAAACCGAAAGGGAAGAACATGCTTGGCACTTCTCAAGCTGAAAGAACTGAAGAAAACATTTCAAGCCTCACGTTGCAATATCGAAGGATTTCTGTGGGCATAATATTGAACGTCAGAGGAAGCATCAAAAGAAGATGGAAGGAATACATAGAATCACTGTACCAAAAAGAATTGGTCGATGTTCAACCGTTTCAGAAGGTAGCATGTGATCAAGAACTGCTGGTACTGAAGATAGAAGTCCAGGCTGCACCAAAGACATTGGTAAAAAACAAGACTCCAGGAATTGATGGAATATCAAATGAGATGTTTTAACAAATGGATGCAACGCTGGAAGCACTCACTCGTCTATGCCAAGACATTTGGAAGACAGCTGCCTCACCAGCCTACTGAAGGAGATCCATATTTGTGCCCATTCCAAAGAAAGGTGATCCAGCAGAATGCAGGAGTTATCAAACAATATCATTAATATCACACACAAGTAAAATTTTGCTGAAAATAATGCAAAAACAGTTGCAGCAGTGCATTGACAGGAAACTGACAGAAATTCAAGCCAGAGTCAGAGGAGGACACAGAACAAAGGATATCATTGCTAATGTCAGACGAGATCTTGGCTGAAAGCAGAGAATACCAGAAAGATGTTTTCCTGTGTTTTATTGACTATGCAAAAGCATTCGATTTGTGGATCATAACAAATTATGGATAACATTGTGAAGAATGGGAATTTCAGAACACTTAATTGTGCTCATGAGGAACCTCTACATAGACCAAGAGGCAGTCATTCAAACAGACTAAGGGGATACTGCATGGTTTAAAACCAGGAAAGAAGGTGTGTGTCAGGGTTGTATCCTTTCACCATACTTACCATATTTTTACACAGATAATGCATACCTTCTACCTTTGTTTGCCAACCGTTCCCTCCCCCTGCAAGACATTTTTAGAAGCACCGCTATGCCAATTTTTT